GACAAGACGTATTATGGAATGGAGGCCCAGAAATTATAAAAGAAGCCGAGGACGACCACCGACTAGATGGACCGATGACATTAAACGTGTAGCGGGAAACTGGCTACAAGCGGCCCAGTGTAGAGAACACTGGAAAGAATTGAGGGAGGCCTATGTCCAGCAGTGGACGCGATTGGCTGATTGATGATGATATGCATTCACAATACTAACGTCGACAAAATAGTACCAAAGTTTCAACCACCACCTTCGAGACTTCTGGGCAATGCTGCAACAAGAATAAAGTTGATCGAAAAGATCAACACTGTCAGAGTCGCCAGTCTGTAAATTTTTATCGGGTGCCAGTTCGTCTGTAGCAAAAATGTTTATGTGGCTTTTACCAAAAGGTGGGGAGATACCAGTAGACCAACCTTCCATAAATGCTTGCCTTTATGGAAGGTTGGTTGAAATTTTTTTTTTAGAGTATGACCTTAGTTTATTCACGTTTCATCCTAGTAGAAGATTGGCCTTGCTTCAGCCCGGAATTTTCGTATGGATCTTAGATAATTTCTTCTCTAACATACTATCTCCTCTCGGTCAATCAAAAGTAATATTCGGTCTAATTTCTCCCACCGAAAATTTAATTCTTTTAAAACTTACCACAATTTAGTTCGTCCGATATGAGGCAAATCTGGGTCGTCTCTAACTTCTTGTAAAATTTTGATTAGGTTTGGTATTTCTTTTTTGGAACAAAAATCCATGAATTTTCCTTCGAATACCATTTTTGGCAAATTCATCAATTTCAATAGCCTTTTCCTCTCTCTTTAAGTTTTCGTTTGTGTTTGGATTAGCTATACCGTGTTTTTTTCTTTCTGATAGGAACCTATATATATATATATATATATATATATATATATATATAATATTATATATATATATATATATATATATATATAGTTGACTCCCCTACGCCAGACATGTTGGCACAACTTTCGACTATGGTGCGAACAGTGTTTGTGGGATTCTGAGAAACCAAAGCATCGTGAACATTCAGGACGATAGTCTTTTCTCTTGGTAAATAGACAGACTTACTGACTGTTCGTAACAGTACCGGTGTAAAACTTAATGATGCTGATGATGAAGCCATCACAAACAATCCAACAAAACGAGCACGAGCGTTCGTAGGTATATGGAATAAAAAATCACTCACGCACTTCATATAATTCACAAAAGAAATATTCGAGACGCTATTACTGTTGTAGATGCGGAAACATTGACGAACCGTAAATTACATGCTATCAAAAACGTCCTAAACAAAAAAATGTTTTCGTTCGTACAAACTTCACCCTTTCAAGTTAAGTTTCGAATATAAACTAAACAGACGAGGCACGTGGCCAAAGCCGGCATCTTTACACCCATTATATTATTAAAAATCTGGGGAATTTCATCCTAATTATTTGGAAGATTAGTATTGAAATATCCAAAGAGATAAGGTATTCTTATTTACAAAATTGTTAATGGTTAAATTCGTATTTTGATTAATATAATATAATAACCAACATTAGCCGTGAAAGTTTTAATTGTTTTTTGCTAAATATAAAACATTAATAATATTAATATTAATTTTAATAAATAAACACCTCAGGAACGCCTATGATGATACAAATTTTACGACCGTTTTATGACTTTGAGGCACATTTCGTGCTATCAACAATTTCTGAACGGATAATAATATAATATTACACCTTTACAAAAAATTACAATGTATTTTGCAATTTATAGGATAAAAATAATCTCGTCTATTTCTAAACAATATTGCCGAAGTTACTGAGCGCTTACATTTAATACTTAAAGTGCATACATACACTATGGTCTCATACAAGGCAAGTTTGTAAGACTATTACGTCGTAATAACAAGTTGCGGCTTTGAGATAATAAACTTAAGACTCCAAATAAGATCCCGGGAGATATAATAAAATATCTTAAATGATAATGAAACAGCCGAAAAGCTTATGTTGGTTGAAAGTTCTTCTATTACGGTTATTAAGTTAGTTAGGGAGGATGCAATTCTACGACGAGGTCGAATATTATACTGCTATTTAGGGTAAATATAATACGCTGTTGATTTAATCAAATTAATGTTCCAATTAGTTGCGAAATTTTTTTTATCATATGTCCGGGAACATTAATAATTATAAATAATCAAACAGTTACAAACTTTACCATGACTATCTTATAAAATTACTCCCGTCATTATTATTATTCTATTTATCTATGCTAAGTGACATAGGCAGAAAATGGACATGGATGAGTCCCGATAAAAAGACAAAGAATGAAATAGATTATATCTTAACGAAGAATAGAAACCTAGTAAAAGACGTATCAGTATTAAATCAGTTTGACCTAGGAAGCGATCAATAAGAACAGAACTAATAATTAACAAAAAAACTAGAAAGAAAAAGAATACATGAAAAAGATACAAATGGACATCTGAAGAAATCAAAAATAGTGAATTTAATAAAAAGATAGCGCATGCATTAAATCAAGTTAGCATGCAGCAGATAAACTCCAATGATATTGATGATTTGAATAACTTATTACCGAAACAGTGAATAAAAGCTTTCTGCAACTGAAAAAATAAACAACATACAACGAATTAGACAAAGTAATATTACAACAAATAAAAAGAAGGAAGATCTTAAATAAATCTAACAAAAGGGGAACCGACGAATATAGAGAACTAACTTAATAGGCAGATTAGAAAACAAGAAACAAAAACAAAAAAGAAAAGAATACGAAAAATTAATAACAACAACTATTGCAAAAATATAAGAGTATGAAATGCCTCAGACCGATACATACTGACACGAATAGAAGAATTTTACAAAAGTAACAATTTCAGAGGTAACTACAGCATTAGAAAACATGAAGAGAAATAAAGCTGCAGGAGAAGATAGTATTACCACAGATATGATATTAGAAGGAGGTAAGGAACTAATTGCAATTGTAACTAAGCTTGTGGACAGTTGTTTACATCAGGACAAAGTCCCTAAGAGCTGGAAACACTCTAAAGTAATCTTATTACACAAGAAAGGTGATAGTCGAAAATTGGAAAACTACAGACCCATCAGCCTACTGTCACACCTGTTTAAAATACTCACCAAAGTCATAACTACTCGACTAACAAGGAAATTAGACGAATACCAACCATATGAACAGGCAGGTTTTAGAAAAGGCTATTCAACTTCCGATCACCTGTATAACCACAAAAATATTAATAGAAAACTGTAACGAATACAAGTTTCCAGTTTTCCTAGCATTTGTAGACTACGAAAAAGCTTTCAATACCATAAAACACACGGCCGTAATAAACGCAATGCAAAATTGTAGAATAGACAGGAGATATATTAACTTAATAAAAGAAACTATGAACCAAGCTACAGCTACATACTACCTAAATGAAAATGAACACACGAACCCTGTACCATTAAACAGGGGAGTCAAACAGGGAGATACTTTATCACCCAAACTGTTCACCTTAGTTTTGGAGAACGTTTTAAAAACCTAAATTGGAAATATAGGGAATAAACATCAATGGCCGCTACCTCAGTAATCTACGATTTGTAGATGACATAATCCTGATAGCTACTGACTACAAGGAATGCAAACCATGCTTTTAGAACTAAATACCGAATCTTCTAAAATAGGACTGAAAATGAATTTAAACAAAACAAAAGTCATGCACTCGAAGACACCGTGACAATAATAAACGATAAATTTATAGAAAAAGTTGAAGAATATATATACTTAGGACAAAAAATAATACTAAATAGGAAATTCAAACTGAAGAAATAAAAAGAAGAAGAAAGTTAGCTTGAACAGCATTCGGTAAACTGAACTATATACTCAGGAATCAACAAATTCAATTACATCTTAGATCTAAAGTTTTGATGCATGCATTATTCCGATATTAACTTATGCGGCACAAACATGGACAATCACAAAAAAGAATATGAATATACTAAGAGTCACTCAATATGCGATGGAAAGAGCAATGCTAGGTATATCACTTAAGGACAAGAAAACAAACACATGGATAAGACAGAAAACCAAAGTCACCGAAGTGGGGCAAAAATCATTAAAGTTGAAATGGTAATACGCTGGACATGTAGCTAGGAGCGATCTAAACAAATGACACAGATCAATTTTAACCTGGAGACCATACCAACACAAAAGACCCAGAGGCAGACCTCCTATGAGATGGACAGATGATCTGAAAAGGACTGCCGGGAAAAATTGGCTACAAGTAGCATACAATAAAAAACAATAGAAAGGAAGACTTGAAGAGGGTTATGTTCAGATGTGGACGTGAATGGCTAGACGGAGAAGAAGAAGAAGAAGAAGACCTATTGTTATCACCAAATTTATCAAAAGCCTTTGTTATATACCTGTATCAAAGAGTGTAGCGAAAAAAGCTTCTTTTTTGCTAATTTTTGTGGTCCGTCACTTTAACAGTAGTATACATCAGTAGTTTATTTGATGTTCATGTAAATAAGCCATTATTGTAAGACACTTGCGTATATTTCAGACTGTTCAGCAATGCGTAATAATTGTGTGATTTATACAATCATATATGATGTAATAATCATATCGCTTTTATCTTCGTATATCTTCTGGAAAAATACTTGTATAATAAAACGTAAAAGTAGATCCTAATTAAATAAAATATGAGCATATCACATTGTCACACAAAGCTCTATTTACTTTATTATTAAAATAAGTATATCAATTATTTCATACGTCACGCATTTAAAAAGTTCAGTTTTTACAAAATTATTTTAGAGTCAGATTAAGATAGATATTTTGATTCTTTAATTACTCTAATTAATATTATTATTTAAAAAAGAATTTATCTATTTGCATTTGAATTTAGATATGTTTAAGATAGCTACCTAACACATAAAAGACCATACTGTCCTTGATTAGCAGTTTAGTTCAAAGTTTACAATTAAGTAAATGGCACGATGGTTCAAGACAATAAAATGAGTAATAATTTGGTGTATCAACTTGTAAACACAGAAGTCAAAGAAGGAGATGACGAAAAGGCAAGAATTGAAGAAAAAGAGGATGACGTCATAGATTCTGGTGAGTATTTATTTTTTTTAACATAGGTCGGGTAACAATTTTCGAAACCAAAATAATCACTTTCTTTTCTTATTTCATTTATAATTATTATGTTTAAACCCACTCTGCTGTATAGGTGTAAAAGTTGAGAAATGAAGCAAAAAGGTTTACCAACTAGCTAGAGCAGTAAAATAAATTAAAAGCTAGCGAAACGAGATTGTTCGGTAAACTTAAAGACAATACAAAACCTAATAGACCGATAAATAATGGTGTAAGATAAGAACTCTAAGATAAGAAGATAAATGAAAATATAGAATATTTAATCTAATGCTGCGAACAGCACTCTGAGAATCCCAAACAGAATCTACTATCATAAAAATATACATAAGTAAACCTGGGTCTAACCAACGAAAAACACCAAGTTAATTATTATAGATTATGTTGCAACAACACACAAGTCGAAGACGTAAGAACTTTAGAAGGACCAGAGTGCGGAACTGACCACTATATGGTCAGTTAATGACCATAAGATCAAAATGTTATAATGTTTTACCTACAGTATTTACCGCAACTGCTACATCGAAATGACAACAAACCAGCATAGTTAAAATCTTCTTCTTCTTCTTCTACTTTTTGTAGATCTTTCGATTTGTTTAATTCTGAAGCTGCCTCTGGTTAATTTCTTGGAAGGTAGATTGCCAACTATCCCTCCATCTTTTAGATGGTCTTCCGGGGGGTCTTGAACCGGGCGGATTGTTTTCTAGGGCAATTTTTGGGAGTCTATTCTCATCCATTCGTCTTACATGGTTGTATCACATCCTCTTGCGCTGCCTTCCCCATCTTACAATATCTTGAATTTTGCACTGCTCTCTAATGTTTGTATTTCTCGCTCTGTCTCTTCTTGTTTTCCCATTATTGTTCTTAGGGTTTTCATTTCGGCAACCCTTAGCATCTGTTTCGTTTTGTTAGTATCTTCGCGCACTCTCTATGCCATATGTCATGATCGGTCGTATGCAAGTCTTATAGATTCTTATTTTACTATCTGTGCGCATATACGGATTTGACCAGACTATCTCCCGCAGACATCCTGACTGCAGATGCTTTGTTGATCTGACTCCTCAGGTTCTTTACTGGGTCGTGGGTGCTTGATATATCTATGCCCAGATATCTGAATTGCATCACCTGTTCTATGGGGTTGTACTCAACCACTAACTTACATCTGAGCGGATCTTTTGCTATTGTCGTACATTTAGTTTTGTTGGTAGAGATGTTCATATTTAGTAGTCGGCTTGTTTGAAAGAACTGAAAGAGCTGCCTTTGGAGATCATCTTCTGATTCGGCAATAAGCTGCAAACACACCATACCAATTCTTTTGTTGCCCATTCTATATCCGAGATTAAGAGATGTTACTTTGTTGATAATTTTGCCCAAGAGAAGATTAAACAAGAAGGGGCTTAAACTGTCGCCTTGTCTAATTCCTCCCGGTGTTGGAATATTTTCAGTGAATTTCTCTCCTGCTCTAACTTTGGTTACGTTGTTGTTATTTTGTTTATGGAGTATCTTTGTTATACTGGTCGGTGTTTCATTTTCTATTAATATATTTAGAATGTCTCCTAGCCGAACTCTGTCAAATGCCTTCTTCAAATCAATGAAGCAAATATACGCTGGCATGCCGAACTCTATAGCTTTTTCTTTTATTTGTTTTATTATAAATACTGCGTCTGTTATAGACCGCCCTTTTGTAAAACCTTGTTGTTCTTCAGCATTAGTGATTTGCTTTTCCAATTTGTCCTTGAGAATACTCGTGAAAAGTTTCATTGTTGTATTTAAGAGGGTTATTCCTCTATAGTTTTGTGGGCAGGTTTTTTGTCCTTTTTTAAATATGGGGATTGTGATACTATTATGCCATTCTAAAAGTTAAAATCACTATAAATAAATCCACCCAAATACAATATTGATGCACTGCAAAACGACATCATTTTTATATAAATTATGGCCAAACCAAAAATTAACAAACCTGATCTATTCTTCAGTCCAGAATACCTCCCAAGAGATAATAAATAAAGCCAATGAAGCTGCTTATAAAGCATTGGGTATGATCCAAAGGAACAAAAAGGATACTCCATTGCTATGGACATCATTGCTAATGCAGTACACAATAAGAAACAAGCATATCAGAATGGTTTAATAATGGTGTAAGATTAAAGGTGGTGTAGATTAAACCATATTACGTTTTGCGGACGATATCGTGCTTCTGTCAGAAAATCTGGGAAAGATCAAAGACATGCTCCAAGAACTGAATGACATACTACAAGAAACTGGGCTGGAGATAAATTTCGAGTAAACTAAAATGATGACCAATATGGTCCCCAGCGAAGAGATACAGATCAATAACAACAAGGTAGAATTAATCGATAAATACACATACTTGGGTCATGAAATTAGAATAACCAGAGACAACCAAACCTGCGAGCTAAATAGACGAATCATGTTGGGATGGGCGGCATATGGACGGATGAGAGACATTTTTAAAACAAATATCCCAATTCACCCGAAAAGGAAGGCATTTAACCAAGGCATCTTACCAGTCTTGACCTACGGAGCAGAGACCTTAACTTTAACAAAAGCTACTGCCGAAAAACTGAGGGTAACACAAAGGCGAATGGAGAGATCAATGCTGGGCCTGACCTTGAAAGATCGCGTAAGAAATGAGGAGATACGCTGACGAACTGGCGTAGACGATATTATACTGCGAATCAATAAACAAAAGTGGAGGTGGCAGACCACCCACCCGATGGACCGACGACCTAAGGAGGATAGAAACAAACTGGATTGCAGAAGCTAGAGATAGAGAGAACTGGAGATGTTTGGAGGAGGCCTATATCCAACAATGGATGTGAAAATTCGGCTGAATGATGATGATGATATCAGAAGTGACTGCATACAAATGACCCAGATGATAGACGATCATACGCAAGATCAAACAGGGAAGTAAAAAACATAGTAACAAAAGCCAAAAATGTTTCCTGGGAAAGTAAATGCAAGGAGCTCAACAAATTAATAGAGAAAACAAGATCAAGGGAAGCATGGAAAATGGTAAAGATCTGAGAACAAACAGAAAAGAAGTGAGTAGAATAGATTTAATAGAAAAAAGATCTTGGGTCGAACATTACTCACAGCCTATGACTGAAACAAGACCGCAATGCACATACACCATTACAAAAACATATAAAGTAGAATACGATAAAGACGATGAAATAACATTACAGAAAGTCAAAGAGACAATACGAAATCTAAAAAATCGAAAAATATGCTGGCGAATTATTAAAAACACAGCCCTCAAGTATTACGGAATTAATAGCGTATGTCTTATTCTATAAAGGACATGACTTACCACCGGAGTGGACAAAAGCACATATTAACAATATCTAGAAAAAAAGATATAAAAAGACTTGTTCAAACTACCGGGGGCTAAGTGTCATAAATTCACTCTCAAGACTCTATGAAAAAATAATAAAAAATAAAATTGAAAAAGAGATGACAGATGCAGAAGACCAAAATGGCTTTTGTACAGGTAGATCTTGTATAGACAGTATATTTTCTCTATAGCAGGTTATTGGGAAAAGATTAGCCCACAACCTTTCAACTGATGTAGTCTTTATTTATTTGCTAAAGTGTACCACTTTCAATGCTCTAGGTAGCAATGGAAAACAAGAAATAAATAAAAAATATAAAAGCAGTACAACAGCTTTACAAAAATATGACAGTAAACATTAAAACTGAAAACAAATTAACTAGAGAAATTTCTATTAGTAAGGGTCTAAACCAAGGCTGCTGCATAGCACTTACACTCTTCAAAATATATCTAAATGAGGCGCTTTTAGTGCGGAGAAGAAAACGCTGCAATATGGGTATTCCAATCGAAGAGGGTACACGACACAATTTATTGACGTCTCATCCATTACAGCTAAAGACGAGAGCGATATAGACTACATGCTTAGAATACTGGATAGGAGTACACCAAGTGACCTTTCAATTAATATACAAAATACTGAGCATTTAGTTACAGGAGAAAAATTACAATTAACTGAAACCTTTAAATAATTGGGAGTTCAAATAACATCAAAAGCTAAGGATAGTCAAGCAAGAGTAGTGACTAGACAGCTACATGGACTATTGTGGAATATTAAAATAACAAAAGAAAATAAAAAAAAAATTATATAACAATAATAAAAAGTATTGGTAAAGCTTTATTTAAGAACCTTTGACGCCTTAAGGCTATGGAAGTAAACTATTGGAGACGATGTTGCCGTTTCACTATACTTGATAGAAGGTAGACATTAGGAGAGAAATGAAAATTGGCCTTGACCTAATGGACATTATCGAAGCCAAACGACTAAACTTGTGTCGACATCTGCAGAAGAGAATGCCTGAAAATAGATAACCAAAAAGATAGAAAAATGGTCTCTGCCGACTAGAAGAAAACGAGGTAGGCAAAGACGGTCATACGGTCATGAGGAGAAAATGTTCAAGATGCAAATCCATTATATAGAAATATATTGTAATAATCAAAATAAAGTAATTAAACATAAATACAAAATAATAATGAACATGTAAATGCTTACTAAACTTAAAAATTACTAAAATTAATAAACACAATGTTGACAGCAAAAATTTAGAATTTTTTTAAATTCTAAAGAACTTAAATGTGTGGTGTTCTTATAAAAAATATTAACAATTCAGTAATAAAATAAGATACAGTTTCTTTAACCCACATAATATAGCAATGAGGCGCTATAAGAAATAGTTACTTTTGTCGGCACTCTTTAAGTGCACGCGCCGTTTTTATTTTTATTCAAAATAAATAAATTCAGCGTTATTCTTATATAAAACTATTTTGTATATTTTCTAGGTCCCAAATTTGGAAAGCGCCATGTTCAAGTCATATTTTTATTTACCCTTTTACTCATAGGATATTGTATAAGAGTTAACTTGTCTCTAACAATTGTGGCTATGACAGATCCGAATGCCAATGAAAACAAAGATATTCCGGTAAGTGCTTTATAAATATTTAATTATTATTAAATGATACAAAAACAAAGAAATGTTTTGCAGTAGGTCTACAGAAATTATCTACAGTGATTAAGAGATTATTTTTACGCTGCCGTTATACTTTGGAGTTTTATCTTTTAACAATAGCATGGAATTAAAAATGGAATGTTATTTTGTATGCATTATTACATCCTTTATATTATCATCGTTCAGCCAATCGCACAATCACTATAATCAAAATAAATCAATTTTATAAAGTTTTTGTTATAAGTTCTTTTCCATCATATTGATAGCACATTATGTATGCAAATCCTCAACAGGTCAAAAAACCATAGGCGTCACCTATACTTGTTTTGAAATAAATAAAAAAAATTAATATTTTAAGATGCCGTCAACAATTCATTATCTTTTAAAAAATCTTCTGTAAAATAAGTGTCCACTAATCTCACTATACCTTTTTTGTGCGTAAAAAACGTCGGTATATATGCCACACGATTATTGTTAATTATACACGGGTGATTAACGAGAGAATTCAATGTTTCACGAAATAAATTAATGTAAACAGTAATTTAAAGGTGATTATTGTTTTCTATACAAGTTATCGCCTGACACAAAAAGAATACCTTCTTTGAACGATTACCTGGAATTACTGATAAGGCTTCACTAATGATAGTTTAAGTAGTTTTTATGCCACATTACAGCTTATGCCAATAATATAAATTAGAAATTGTTTGCATCTTCCATTTAGTTTGTAGATGCACATTGTTCATGTCTTACCTACCTACGTTTTTGGTGTCGATATTTTGTTATTTGCACTTAAAAATGACGTCGACAACAGGTTTTATCCCGTTAAGTGTAGTTTTAAAGGTGCCTTCAGTCTAAGAGAGAAAAATATAATATTAAATGTACACGATGCACTTGTACATCAACGCCCTTTAAGTAATGTTCGTGAAATCGTTAACATGTGTTCAAATATGACAGGGTTTGGGGAAGCAACAATTTATAGATTCCTAAAAGAAAGAAAAGAAGGAACTGTTTCATCTCCCAAGAAGAGTGGAGGGAGTAAACCCTTGGAAATTGAAGAAATACATAAAAACATGATAAGACGCAGCGTCCACTCATTTTTTTTAACAAAGAATTTCCAACATTGGACAAAATCCAAACATTAATTAGAGAAAACGAAGAGTTACCAATCATAAGCAACAAGAAATTATGGGGACTATTGAGAGACATGGGATTTCGTTGGCAAAAGAATAGAAGAAAATCCGTTTTAATTAAAAAAGATTACATTGTATGTTGGAGACGAGATTATCTAAGAACTATTAAAAAGTACGAGAAGAAGAGAAAACAATTTTTTATTTGGACGAGACTTGGCTAAATGAAGGTCATACTGTACCATATCTATGGGTTGATACAAATGTGAAAAGTTCCCGTCAGACATTCATCGAAGGTGTATCTACTGGAATAAACAATATTCCCGTTGGAAAAGGACGCCGACTTATAATAACCCATATTGAAAACGAATACGGTTTTGTCAATGGTGGATTATTAACTTTTGCCTCAAAATCAACCAAAGATTACCACGATGAAATGACTGCTGACGTTTTTGAAGAATATTTTGAGCAAATGTTGAATTTAATTCCAAAAAATTCTGTCATAGTCATGGATAATACCAGTTACCATTCAAGACTAGCAGAAAAATTGCCAACAACGGCATGGAAAAAAGGAGAGATAATCGAATGGTTGGATAAACACGCAATTGAGTACAAGGAGAATTCGACAAAAAAGGAATTATTACCTATTGTAAGGCAACATAAAGCAGCTTATAAAAAATATATAATTGATAAAATGGCATTAAACCGCGATGTAATTATTTTACGTTTACCCCCATACCACTGTGATCTGAATCCGATAGAAAATATATGGTCTCAAGTAAAGGGTGAAGTCGGACGCAACAACAAAACTTTTAAATTAGAAGACTTACAACAATTATTAGAACATTCCTTATCAAAAGTAACTCAGAAAATTGGAAAAATGCTGTTAGTCATGCTCACAAGGAAGAAAATAAAATGTGGAATTTGGATAATATGACTGATGCAATGCTGGAACCGGTAATAATTAACATTGGAGTTGAAGATTCCTTAGATTCTAAAGAAAGCAGTGAATCTGAAATGGAATTTGATTAAAATAATATTCATTTTTTTACAAATCGGCCCCTGTTACGGCCACAAATTATTTTATATATAACCAATAAAATAAACATCTTACATTTCTTGCAAATTCATTAGTACCTGTTAATCTCCATCACTCCGATACTGGCAACTTTATTTAGGGATTAGTAACCCTCAAAACTATTGTATTCTATTCTGCTTCAACCTTTATACCTGGTGGTCATACTCAATTTAAAATTGTTTTCCTATATACTTCTGTAAACTTGTTGACAAATATCTATTTTTCATTGAGTCACCGTATCAACAGTTTAGGGATTTGCATACATAATGTGCTATCAATATGATGGAAATGGACTTTAAGATATAACAATTACCTTTAAAATGAGAGGGCTCTTGCACGTATAAAAGCTGAGTTAATCTTGAAAGCGCCCAATGAAATGCCTATTTTTACTTAAAAACTCGGATCAAAGATAATCAAACGCCATTTTATTCGATTTTATAAAAGGAACAATTGTCATTTTGGTAAAATGAGATATTTCTAATACTTTGGGAGATAAACAAACCAAAAAACATAAAAATACGTCAAGGTACCGAGGGGACAAAAAAAGTTCATACTCAACCGCCCTCATGGCTCCTAGACTAATATCAACGGTGAGCAGGCAATATGTCCTATCTACAAAAAGTGTGTTTTACAGGAGGAAGAAAAAATCATTTTATTTTAACAATATTGATATAGGGACGAATAAAAAAAATACGTAATTACTTAAATTTTATTACGTAAAAGTGAATGTTAACAAAAATTGATTTACTTGCATTATACATTTAGTGAGTCAGTTAGGACAATTTGAAATAAAATATTTTGTTACATAGGACTCTATGCATTTTGATTATATAATACAAATTAAATTAACAAGAACCTTTTTATGACAGATAAACTTAAATAATAAAAAGTTTTTAATGATTCTAAACAATATGTGGCAAATTCTCATGGAAAAAGTGACAGTCCGATGGAATGACACTTTTTAGTTCTTGTGGATGTTGCCACTTTACCTTGGAAATTTTACATCGTTCGGTAAATAATGCAGGATATTTGGATATTGTGGGGATATTTTTTGGTCTTACAGGAAGATCAGTCCAATTTGATTCCGTATGATGAAGTTTTACCTTAATATGTCTTAACGGATTGTAGAAAATAGATCTTATATCCATAACAGTTGGATCGTTTACTATTCGTCCTGAACGAATGGAAGAATATCTTTAAGTTTTGCTATATTCCTTAAAAAACGGATATCACAATGAATAGCCTCATATTGGTTTGGAAGCTTTCTAGTTTCTTTTGTGATAGATATGTAATCACTTGGAACTTTAATTTCTCTTTTAAACTTTTAAAAATTTCTGATGTATTGTTATGTTATGTAACATACTGAAATTTAAAAGGGCATTGGCCATAACTGCATTCCGATTCTGAGCAGTGCAACCATCCAAAAAAATTGTTATAGGTTTTTTTAATCTCTGTTACACAATATCTTGAAAGAAAATCTAGTAAACAAGAAGTAAATGTTGATGCAACAAGCTGATTATTCTGATCCTCAGAAAACCAATAGCAACTGGCATGTTTTGTAGCCAAATTGTATACTGTCAAGTTGTGGCAGGCAAGCTTGGTCTTGTAATAAAACGCGTTTGCGTGTGTAAAGGGAGCTAATTTTACGGCCTGAAAATCTAATTGTATTGTGAACTGATTTCCTAACTGAGCTTCACGTTTGTCTTTTTCCATTTCATCTCTCGAGTCCTGTTTACGTTTTTGATGAGCATGCCATGCCTCTTCTGTTATGTTTCCAGTTCGGTAGCTACAACACGTGTTACACTGGTCCTTCTTATTGGGAAAAACTGAAATATTTTGTTGACTAATGATTTCTGAAAACTTCTTTCTGCCAATAGACGGGACGCTTTCAGCTTCGCATTTACTAAGATACAATTTAAAAACATCAGAAATTGTATAAAATATGGGTTCCAAATATAGTTTAGATGAATGTTTTCGAGCGTAGTGTGACGGCATTTTAGGCAGTTCATTTAAAAATTTTTGGAGGAACTTAATTCCCTTGCTAGTTCTGGTCGGTCACTTACTTGTTTATTGCGCTGATCTTCGAGACGAGGGATGTTATATCAACTTTGTTAATACCATCTCTGAACCATTTTTTAATTGATACCAAGCGTACTCAAAAACATTTGTCGACAAACTTGCTTTACTCCTTGTCCAATATTTAATCTATACTGAAACGTAAAATTGCATCTAGAGTCATTTCGATCTACAGTGTTTCTCTTTTTCTCAATTTTTATCACATGAGCAGTCACAAATGACTGTTTTTGTCCACTGAGCCAAAAAATAATACCTTAGTGGAAGGTGCGTCCATTGACTTATTGCAGGTTTCCATCTAATTTTGTACTATTTACACATATTCACTAACTTCTTTCCTCGGTTCATGATTTCCCTGGATCACTCTGTAATATAAATAATAGCAGTCATCCCTAATTTATTTATAAAAATGGTTTCAATTTATAATATGCATAAAAACAAATTGTCCTAACTCCACTTGACGCGTTTAACAGACTCCTACTAGAACAATTCATTTTCTGACAAATTGTCCTATCTACATAAGTATCAAATTCAACGTTATTTTTAATTAAAATAAGATTTTTATCCAATTCCATATAAATAATACAATGCTCACAGAACTTAAAAATCAATACATACCTTTTTCTAGTAAAACAGGTCACCATTTACAGTGATTATATCAAAATAATTAGCACAATCTGCACAGCCACTTCACGCAAATTAGAATGGACGTTAGATAGGACATTTAGCATTCCAAATGGTGTCTGTTTTCAATAGGCCAAATTGAAATTCGCAGGTGACGAGACAATGTTGTCGATTTTCGCAAATATTCCTTAATGGGGTGATAAATAGTCACATTTAAAATTGTTTCGACCAAAAATACAAAAATCGACAAAATGCGAGATAGGACATTTTGCCTGCTCACCATCGATATCCATGTCAGTTCTGTGTACATTGTTATTATTATTATTAATATCTTTTAATATATTTTGCAGACTTTTGATTGGAAAAACCGAAATGTCATACTTTCAGCGTTCTTCTGGGGGTATATAACTCCACAGATCCTAGCCGGTTGGTTAATGACTCGATATGGTCCGAAATGGTTCCTTCTTGGATGTATGGCTATAGGCGCAGTACTGGGCTACACCATACCTTTCCTGGCTACATATTATGGATCAACAGCCGTTATTATATGCAGAGTTCTCCAAGGAGCTTCGCAAGGGTTTTTCGTTCCTGGTATATCTTGCTTTACAAGCCGATGGATACCGATTGCAGAAAGGGGAAGACTGGGTACCTTTATGTATGCAGGTAGGAAATACTGAGTTTAGATATTATTTTTTTTTCTTTAGTGTCCAAGTCGATCATACATCTAGAAATATTAGTATAAATAAAGGAGTAAGGCAAGGATGCATACTAGCCCCTATGCTGTTCAATCTTTACTCGGAACTACTATTCAAGCAAGCCTTGGAAAACCTTTCCACAGGAATAAAAATTAATGGAGAACCAATATCTAGCATAAGATATGCAGATGACACTGTCGTACTGGCTGATACAGACACAAACTTACAGGGGGTTATAGCCCACCTCAAGGATGCTTGTCGAGAGTTTGGAATGAAGATCAACGAAAAAAAAAACAAAAGTAATGGTGATCCAAAGAAAACAGAATATCCCCTTACCTATAAAAATAAATGGGAATATTTTAGAATAGGTAAACCAATACAAATACCTTGGCTGTTGGATTAATTGCAAGCTGGACCCAGAACAAGAAATTAAAGCGAGAATTGCTCAAGCTAGGGATAGTTTCTTTAAGATGCGCGTTCTATTCTGCGATACACATATAAATATTAAATTGAGATTAAAACTTGTAAAATGTTTTATCTGGTCTGTTCTTCTCTACGGAGTCGAAACGTGGACTTTAAAAATAAAGAGCCTGCATAGAATCGAGGCATTTGAAATGTGGGTGTACCGTAGAATTTAAAAATTCCTTGGACAGCACGAAAAAACAAGCGAAGAAGTACTAGCTAGACTCAATAAAGAAAAAGAACTATTGAGAACAGTCAAAAGAAGAAAAACCAGTTATTTAGGGCATTTGTTGCGCAACGAGAAATACTAACATCCCTCAGTTAATAATAAAAGGAAAAATAGAAGGAAAGCGAGGAATTGGAAGAAAAAAATTGTCCTGGTTACGTAATATCAGAAACTGGACAGGACTTGGATTTGAGGAAACTCTTAAGAGCAGCTGAAGATAGACAAACGTTTGCCACCATAACCGCTAACCTCCATTGATGGAGACGGCACTTGAAGAAGAAGAAGAAGTGTCCAAGTTTCGCAGCCGTATGTCATAATTGGTAGTATACACTGATCGAATACTTTTTTCTTCAGGTGGATTGGCATCTTCGATTTGAATATGCATTTCTAAAACTAGCTTGAACATCTAAAAGATGTCCTTCTTCTTCTTAACATGCCATACACCAAAGTGCGTAGGCGACTATCTCATTACTAGAATTCTGTTCTTGGCGGCGTGACACAGCGCACCTGTATTGTGTATTCCTGTCCATTCTTTAATATTCCTTAACCAGGATAATTGTTTGCGGCCGGCTCCTCTCCTACCTTCGATCTTCCCTTGTGGGATTAAACTGTGGTATTTCATATTTTGCTCCTCTCAATATGTGCCCAAGGTAACCAATCTTGCGTTTTTTAATTAATTCAAAGAGTTCTCTTTCCACGCCGGCTCTATTAAGGACGTCATCGTTTCGAACTCTATCCTTCAAGGTATGCGCATCATTCTTCTCAATGACCACATTTCAAATGCTTCAAGTTTGTTGATAGATGTTTTTTCCAAAGTCCACGTTTCCATACCATAAAGCAAGATGGACCATATGGAGCACTTGACCATTCTGTAGCGTATTTCGAAGTTTAGGTGTTGATTACATAGGAGCGGTCTGAATTTCACAAAAATTTTGTTCACAAAAGATGTCCAAGCTAGTTTAATTTTTCTGTTGATTTCTGGAAGTAAGGAGCCAGATTTATGTATTAATTGTCACAGGTATACATACTCGTCCATTATCTCAAGTGCAGTGTTGTTTATTATTGCATCTTGGATATCCACTAGCTCGTTGTACATGGTTATTGTTTTTGTCAGGTTCATTTTTAGGCCAATTTAATTGCTAGCTGCATTAAGGTCGCCTTACAAGTTCTTGTAGTTCTGTAAAAAAACTGTATTGCAAAAAATCCTAGAAAGAAAACGCCGGACGGTCTTAACGGAAGAAAACGACCCAGCTTACGAAAAAGTTTAATGAGTTTTGCAACATGGAATGTGCAAGGTATTCGGACTAAGCTTGATGAGGTGTTGAAAGAAATTAAAAGATTTCAATTAAATGTAACAGTCCTTACAGAAACAAAAAAGAAAGGGAAAGGGCAGACGAGTTTAAAGATTTTGTTCATTTCTGTAGTGGAATAGGAAAAGACAGAAGAGCTGCAGCAGGTGTAAGTATATTGATAAAGAAAAGGCTGTTACGAAATATTAAGAACTGGGAACAAATAAAGGAAAGGCTAATAAAAGTTGAGATGAAGCTACAGGGACGTGACATAGTGGTAGTGGGCGCATATGCACCTTCTGAAGATGAAAAAGACGAGGTAAAGGATAAATTTTATTGACGGACCTGGTAAAGAGTATTGGAACTAGGAAGGAAGTAATTCTACTAGGCGACTTAAATGCTAGAACCGGAAGAAAAGTAAATAGCAAAGTGGTCGGTCCATTTGGAGAAGAAAAAATAAATAAAAACGGTGAAAGATTAATAAGTTTCTGCGATCATATGAATTTAAAGATAATGAATGGATATTATCAGCACAAGGATATTCATAAATTCACATGGATTTAGCCAACGAGGAATTTGAAATCAATAATCGATTACTGTATATGCAAAGAAAACTCCACAATAAAGGTTAATAACGTTAGAGTCCATCGAGGAGCAGAATGTGGATTTGATCACCATTTGCTTAAAGCGTCACTACTATTTACATTTAAAGGAAGAAAATGACAAAAAGAAAACGAAAATTCAATGATACTGCAAGACATTTCAACAAAGAGATATAATCTAGAAGGTTTTGAAAATGTGTCTACCCAGTTTCTGTATCGAATGAGGTTGGATCTGAAATTGCACGATATTTGTTACTCCTCATCAATTAATACGTACAACGAAATTATAAAAGCTTTTGACGAAGCTGCAATGGAAGCTATTGGAGAAATGGATAGCATAAAAAATAGAAATGAATGGTGGAATAAAGAAATAGAAGAGCTTGTGGGGAAGATGGAGAATATGTATAACAAATGGCTAGCAACAACGGACCCTTACTATTTACAACAGTACAACAGCTTAAACAAAGAAGTAAAAAAAAAGAGGTAAGTAAAGAAAAAAATGAGATGAGGAATAAAGCCTGCGATAACGTAGAACATTTTATGGGTACAGCAAGAAGTAAAGAAGCCTTGAAAACAATTAGAGGTAGTAGAACAGATAGAAAAGAATACAGAAGGTTAACTCTAATAGTCCCAGAATTATGGGTCAAATATTATGAACAAATGCTAACAGAAGATCAAAGAGAATTCCAAGATATTGGCTACCAAAAATATGATATTTCCTACCGCGAAGAAACTAAAATAACACCAGAAGAATTTAAAAAACACGCCAACGCTATGAAAAATGGAAAGGCTCCAGGATCAGGGGAAGTACCCATTGAACTGATTAAATATGGCCCTGTCAATTTATTTCAGCTATTGGCTTATACTTTAATTTATTCTTGAGAGGAGAAGAGCTACTCACAGAATGAAAAACTGCATATATCAGCAATCTATACAAAAATAAAGGCGACAGAAAAAGATTGTAAGAACTACCGAGGGCTTAGTGTAACTAACTCAATCTGTAGAGTTTACGGGAAGATAATTAAAAGCCGAATTGAAGATTGTTGGGAAGACACTGAAGATCAGAGTGGATTTCGTACTGGTCGTTCTTGTATAGACAATGTGTTCTGCCTAAAACAAACAATAGAAAAGCGTTTGGAACATAATATGGAGACACACATGGTAATTTATTGATCTTCAAAAAGCGTATGACAGTGTCCCATTAGCCAAGCTATGGCAGGTGCTAGAAGACAAGAATATTCCACTGATTTACATTAATACTGTAAGGGAGTTGTAACGATGATATGACGAGTGTAATAAAGATTGGACAAAAAGTAACAAAAAAGATAAAAGTAACCAAAGGACTTCGCCAAGGCTGTTGCATTGCACCTACCCTCTTTAAGATTTATTTGGAGGGGGTTTTGGACATTTGGAAAAGAAAATGTGAACCTATGGGTGTTAAAATTGGAGACCATACACTGTACAACTTGCATTTTGCTGATGACCAAGTAATACTTGCAGAAGATCAAGATGATATCCACTTCATGTTACAAAAAATAGATGAAGAATATACTAAGTGGGGCTTATCAAATAATCCATCAAAAACAGAGTACGTAGTAGTGGGAGGTGAAGGAAAGCACTTAGAACTAGGAAGCAAACAAATTCAAAATACTGATAGCTATGAAAATCTCGGTGTAAACATTACAAACAATGGTCGGAATATAAAAGAAATAGCTACTAGAATTGGTCAAGGAAATTCAGCCACATCACCCGAAACATAAAAATTTAAGATATACAAAAGTATCATAGAAAGCATTGCTACATATGGTTCAGACCATTGGGTAATAAATAGAAATGACGCATCCAAAATAAAAGCAATGAAAATGAATGATTGGAGAAGATGTTGCCAACTCACTAAAAGAGATAGAGTAAGGAATACTGAAATCAGAGAGCGTATGGGCATAGACATTGACATCCTGGAAACTATAGAATGCAAAAGGCTGAAATGGTATGGCCATGTAGAAAGGATAATTAATCAACGATGGCCAAAGAGAATGATACAGTGGATCCCCACCAACCGCAGGAAAAAGGGAAGACTAAGAAGATCGTGGAGACAAGAAGTAAAAGGTGCAATGGAAGATAGGGGTCTACAAGTAGATGACTGGAACGATCGCAAGAGTTGGAAGCTAGGTTGCGAGAAACGGCGACAGCTGTAATAAACTTGTTGGCTGAGGTATTCTCCATCAATGGATATTCTCTTATTCTGTTAGTTCATTTTGCTGAATATATTTTATAGAGTTGCAGTAAAGAGCTTTGGTGATATTGCGTCTCCTTGTCGGACGCCTCTGGTAGTGGGACTTATCTTTTGCTATTTGGATGACACGGGTCTCCTCCATTCTACTGATGTCTATTACTTTTTTCTATTTTGTGTCTATATATTGTTATGGTATTCAAAATTGAAGAGTAAAAATATTAAATGTACGATGAAATCAATATTTCAGAGATTATAGAAAGTAAAAATACTCCGAACTGCCTGGAATTAACCAAAGGTGTTCTTAGTTATAAATAATTTTTTGTATAAATATAACAAGTGGATAGTGCTAGTACAATGAATAGAAGTTAGCGATGGTTTTTTCCCATAAGCCATAAAGTGTTCCGTAATCCGGGTTTGCGCCATGAACAGGACAATAAAAATAGTTAATAAGTAAATGGTTTTTCGGAATCTGTAAATACCCAGTAGAAATTAAGTGTCGTTATAGAAATAATATGAATGAGGAAAGTTTGTAGGTATTTCTGATTTTATGTGGGGAGTGGTATGCAAATTTCTGATTGGCCGAGAATTTGGAAAGTGGTGAGATGGGTGTCTATAATGAGAGGTTGGATGAATGGATAGATGAGATGAGATAGTTAGTTAGTTCCAGTTTCTTAAAGTGAATGGTTGGTTTTCGAGGTGGTCGCCAGGGGTAGTAAGTGATAAAGAATAAGTTGTGAGTTGGTGAAGTAAGTGTATCCGACGGTAGCTGATCTGGTACAATTTTGTAAGTAAACTTTTCCTACTTGTATTCTACGTATCGCTGTTTATTTTGGAACGAGAGATTAACTTTGGCGAGAGGAAAAGATGCTGGCTTCATTGGAAAGGTACGTGAATTCAAAGGAGAGCATTGAAGACACTCAATTGCAATAATATTGTTTAATATTGCCAATTACATAGGAGGCTGCTGAGAACTTATAGTTTATTTTGCATAGAACGAGGAATTGAACAACTCAAGGCAAAAGAAGCGTTTCAACGTTAGAAACATTCATAATTAATTTCAATTTGAGAATTTTGGATCAAATAATATTATATCATATTAGTAACGTGTGAATAAGTTCTCGATAGTTGAAGAAGATCAAATTTGTTCTGATAGGGGACAGAGATGTGGAGAGAATTGGATAATTCATACAAATTTTTTTGGTACAATCGATATACCAAAATTGCATTATGAAGGACACTGAATATTACTTGATTTGTTTATGTAGAATAATAAGCTCGATTTTAGATTGTAATTGTATTATATTATCCATGCATTATTGAAGGTTCACGTACGTAGAACGATTTTTGTTTGATAAACATTGTATGCTAATAATTTTTGGAGGTATTTTAATCAGTTTATTTTGTTACATTTTTTCATATCATATTATGTTGTTTTATTCCGTTATTCCTTGAGCCTCATCAGCTGTAAAGTATAGATATTGAAGCACGAGTAAAACCGAGAAATTTTACATTAGGAACAACGCTTATAAACTAACTTGATTCTTAATAAATAATTAACTGAATGTTTGCTTTTTTTCTCTTTAGCTGTACCGAGAGAGTAAAAGATATCATTATTTTTAAGATGCTAATACGAAATATATCAAATTGACTAGATTTCCTAAAAGTAAAAAATATTTTAAGTAATTTTAAATATAATTTTTTCCTAAATTGGTTTTAAATAATAAATAATTTTACTATATTGTAATTGAACAAATCCCCTTCGTTGGCACAGTGAAGATGTTCATTCAGTTGTTAATGGAAACACAAAAATAATAGTAGCAGAGTTTATTGACGAGACGTACACTATGGGTGTGACCCGGGATTACTTGAGTAGAGACTGTTGCAGTTGAGCGTTGAAGACTATCACGTTTGTTGAGTAAATATTGATTGAATGCTTCTCTAGGAAAGAGATTTTAGTTTTAATATAAGTTTTAATTGGGTCAATATATTCGCGGACCTAATGACTAAGTTGTGTGTAAATGTTTAAACTATCGTCAGCACTTTCGACTGATGTCCAAATTTTATTGTTGATAATTGACCAAATCTAATGTAACCTAATTAACTACGTGTGTGTATTTAATAACAAATAAATTCATTCGGTCTACTGGGTGATAAAATTATACTGTCCAATTTCGGATATGAATTCTGAAGATTTGATATTGGACAGTAATAATTAATCCATCAATCTAAGTTCAACAATCTACTGAAATACATTTTTTAGCAAGTCCAATGGGATCTGTAGTCAGCATGATTTTGTCAGGAGCAATTTCAGCAAGCCCGTACGGATGGCCTATGGTCTTTCATTTCTTTAGTACACTGGGAATTGTATGGTGTGTACTTTACATTTTCTGCGGCTCTAAATTCTCCATCGGAGAATAAAAGTATTACGGAAGCAGAGAAAAATTACATACTCCGAACTTCTGTTGATGTTAACAAGAAACCGGTAAGTGATTAAATATTTATAGAACTATATCTAATAAATAAAATTTGTTTGTGTTGCTTGGGTAACCTTATTACTCAGTATTTTTGCGTCGATAATAATCTCTTTTGTAATATCAATGCAATAACTATAATAACCTATAATGTATACATTTTGGTGTCAATTGCCAAGGTTACTCATTTTCGTATCAATTTGAACAACACCTGTATATAATTTATTTATAGGATTATATCTGGCTAAGAAATATATGTTGCAATATGCAATTGTTGTTATACTTTCTTTTCAACGGCACATTTCGGCCCATTTATTACAGCTAGTTCTGCCGTGGTCTTAAATAATTAATTTATTAGTTTAATTGAATTTTTATGACAAAACACTCGGTATAAGCAATCTCCTGCTTACCGACCAACGGCTTTGGGTGGATGAGTCGGTAGGTAGTAGGACAATCTTTTGTTCTCGAGGTGAGAAATCGACTCCAAAGGCAGAAGAACCAATATGTTGGTCAACGGCAAAAGAATGCAGAAGGCAAGGGAAAACCACTACATTAAAGGTTTCACTGCAGAGAAGTAAAAGATCATGTCAAAAACGAGGCTTTCCAGGTCAACAGCAAGCAAAATCCTCGCTTCGCTAATAAAATTCCACGTCTATGAATACACAAATGTAGACCAATAAGACTTGCAACATGGAATGTAAGAAGCTTGTACCAGCCAGGAAAATTAGACCATTTAATACAAGAAAGGACCAGAATGGAAGTAAATATACTGGGCATAAGTGACGTACAATGGCTGGGCACCGACAAACATAACCAAAAACGGCATGATGTATTATGCTGGAAACAACGATCCAGCTTATCGCTAGTTAGTTGCAATCTTGTTAGACACAGAAACTAATAAATCAGTTATGCTTATAACTCCATACTCAGAAAGAGTGCTAATGGTTTAGCTGAAGATAAACATACAACAAGTCAACTTAATTCAAGTATACACACCAACAGCGGATAAGGATGAAGAGAAACATTTTTACATAGAGTTAGATAATTTTAAGATCTATTAAAAAACGTTATTGGCGACGTGCAAGTACTTGGATGTGATACGAGAAACGATCGTGCGCGAGTAGCGGAGAAAATCTTGCATTTTTTACTGCAAATTTCATAGATTTCATAAATTCATATTGTCAATTGTCATATTTCATATTCGTTTGTTTATTTACACCTTCTGCCACTGAAGAAAATGCGATTTAGGAAATTCTGTGTTATAAGTTGTAAAAATACAACAAAAAATTGTCAATTTAAGTTTTATTTCATTTCCAACTTCGAAGCGCAAATTACGACAAAGAGACAAGTGGATTTATATCATAAAAAAGCATAAGTAACATAACCTAAATTATGCATTATTCTTGCGCCCGATTTTAAAGTCAGTTTGAAATAAATAATAAATAAAAGTTCACTTTTAAGTGTAAATTTTAGTTTCATAATTTAGTTTCATAGTTTAGTTTCACTCACTTAGAGTTCAGTTTAACCCAAAAATCAAGTTTAATTTAAATTTTATTTTTTTGAAGTTTACAGAAATGCATCAAGTTCAAGTTTTTCTTAAGATGTATTAAGATATATTCGCTGTCCAAAAGTTTACAGGGATATTTTTCTTAAATCTTCCACATAATTCTTCCATTCTTTTTGGACATTTGCCACTACTAAAGCTTTTCCATTTGACTCAGTGCTTGTTGAAAAGTTATTTGGTGATTTACTTTCTCAAATCCAGTTTTTATTATTGCATTCATATTAACACTAATGCTGTAATTTAATAATATATTTATTTGTATTTACACTACATACAACGTTTACCTTTTAATAACGTACCGACATAACTTCAATCTTACTTTTTCTTCTTATTCTTTTTTTGGGGCTACGTCCTTGACAGTTATCCGGTAACCTCGATCTAACATGAAAACGCAGTAAATTTTGCTGATTTACGACACCAGGTGTCGCTGTTCCGAACTTGCATGGTCCCAATAATGGTAATGGGAGACTTTAATGCTAAAGTCGGGAGAGAAAAAGTTGACGAATATGTTGGGGAATTTGGACTGGGTGAGAGAAACGAAAGGGGGATGGTCTTGAGGGGATGAACACAATGTTCCAACTACCCGACAGAAGATTATACATTTGAAGATCTCCTGTAGACAACAAATACCGCATATTCAGAAATCAAATAAACTATATATTAGGTAAAAATAGATACAAAAACCCAATTATAGCAGTAAAAGCATACCCCCGAGCAGATGTCAACTCATACCATAACCTGGCGATAGCTATAATAAACGTAAAACTCAAAAATATTGTAATACCTGAAAACAAACCAACGTTTGAATATACAAAATTAAGAAAAAGGGAAATACATCAAAAAGTGATCCAACAAGTTAACTGAAATCTAACAGAAGTAAGAGAAGAAATCTTAACATCAGAAGATGTCAATGAAAAGTGGAGCAGTATTCGGAAGGCGTTACTAAAGGCTGCAGAAGAAAATTTAAAGCCTGAAAAGCCAAATAAAAAACAGAAGAGGATGAGTTCAGAAATTCTAGCATTAATGGGAGAGAGGACAAAAGTCAAAGGGAGAAATGAGCCAAAATATCAAGAACTACGAAGTAAAATTAAAGTAGAAATAAAAAAGGCTAAGAAAAAGTGGTTAACAGATCAATGCAAAGAAATAAAAAAGTACGACAGCTTTAATATGCATAAAAAAATAAAATAACTAACAAATACCAAAAAGCGATCACATTATGGGATACTCACAGATGATAATGGTAAATTCATTGCAAATTTCCTTAATAGGCCACACACTTAAGATATTTCCCAAAATAATACATGGAAGACTATACAAAAAAAAAAAAAATAGGAGAAGATATAGATGACACCAGTTTGGATTCAGAGGAGGACTAGGAACGAGCGAGGTTCTGTTCGCATTTAACGTTCTCGCGCAAAGACGACTAGAAATGAACCAGGGACTCTACAGAGAACTACGAACGCAGAAAGCGACACTCCTTTGATCTTGCGTGGGCAAGCCGCCAACGAGTGAAAATGACAGGAAAGCAACTAATTTACTAATAGTCAGTGGGCATATCACACAATATAAATTCTTAAATACAATTGAGCATTTATGTTGACTTTCAATAATATGAAATATTGCACTGAAAAAAATAATTACAAAAAAATATTTGGAGTTATGTTAATGTAAGTTTGTTTATTTGCAATCATGTTTTTATTTTGAAATCTTGTTCTGTTGTAATTTTAAGATTTCCCAATTGGTGTTTATCGTATTATATTGAAATTTGGGAAGTACTGCGTCATGCATCAATATTTTTCTTTTTATTTTTTTTGACAATAAGATTATCTTCAAAATATAGTTCACAAATCCTATAACTATTATAAAGTATATCCATTTTTAACAATAAATCTTCTCGTCTGCAAGCTTCTATCCACATTTTGGCACTACAAATTTTTAACATAACAAATTTTTAAACAAAGAACTTTTTGTATTTATAAATAATACTTCATTACTTACAACTATAAGAGTATAAGTATATTGTAAGTGTATTGTAAAGTAATGAAGTACTTAACTTTTGTCAATATCTCATCTTAATAAATTTACAGTTATCTCCTGATTAAGTCACAAAATTGTCACTAAATATTGAGATATACAACAAATAAAGTTGTAATATTTTTTATTTGTAATTTTAATTTAAATATTTATTCCCTAAATATGTTGTGTACTCCGATTCATATATTTGATCTATGTTATTTATATTTAACGAATTAAACATTGACAGACAACTTTTGTATATATTATATTTAACGAATTAAACATTGACAGACAACTTTTGTATATAGCAAAAAGTAGATGAGAATTAAGATTTTCCCAATTATCGGTCTAATTATGTTGTCCAACAATTTTTAGTTTGAGCATTTTAGGAATTTCTTTGTTTCGTTTAAATCAAATATTCTCATGTATAAAACCCTCTATATATTATTATTTCCTAAAAAAACTACATTCGTATTGTTGTCTGCGAACGATTTCACACCAGTAGGCCAACATCTGTTGATTTTTTGACCTGAGCCTTCGGAGACAATAAATTTAATGTGTGTTCGTAGTTCTCTGGTTTTTATTTTGAACTATCCCTTGGCAGACCAAAATTTATTTTTTTATTGCTCCACTTAACGAGAGCTCGGACGGACACGTCGGCGTCGGCTTACTGATCGAAAGTCAAATTATTACTATTATGTAATAACTAATAATAATTAGAAAGCAATAGTAATTACCTGGTATTATTCTTAAGAAATCTAAATAAACTTATTCCTTTTCCTGTCACAGATGAACATCCGCGAAACGCACAACAATAACCAGAAGACATTTTAAATACTTCTAAATTAAACTTTTAACTATAAACTATAACTATAAACTTATATATTAAACTTATATATTTTAACTATAACTATAAACTTTTATCTAATTTACTAAGTAAATTAGATAAATGGTCAAATGCACTTGTATAGTCGAGAATTTACCACAGGTGCCTACGGACTATCGTAAGCAACCAGAGTTGAAGGAAACGCACGTGTTTTTGACAGTAAAGCAACCAATTTCGGACATGCGTATACAGAAAAGATACACGGATTTCGGGGTTCGTGTCGCTTCTCTGTGTTCGTAGTTCTCTGGTCTCTATGTCCGCTTTATAGATTATCAAAAGGCATTTGATATAGTACGACATTAGAAACTTATAAAATTTTTAAAAGAAAAGAATGTGGATAGTCGCGATATTTCGATAGTCCAAATAACGTTAGAAAAATGAAATATCGAAATAACGAAATAAAATAATATTAAAACAAAAGTAATTAAATGGGTGTTTAACAAATTAACAATTTTTAACACTATTTCTCCCAATCAATTTAATAAGATTTCTTTATTTTTGTAGTTACCAACACCTTGGAGACACATATTAACCTCATTGCATTTTTGGGCCTTATTGTTCACATACACGTGCAATGTGTTGGGACTTTGGCTTCTTTTAACCCAAATTCCTACTTACATGAATAAGATCATGAAGTTTGATATAAAATCTGTAAGTTGTGACATAAGTGTACAAGTATATTACTACTTTTACGTAAATATCATTCTTTTTTGCAGAACGGAACTTTGACAGCCTCAATATATCTTAGTCAATGGATACTAAGTTTAATTTTGGGATCCGTGTCGGATTATGTGATTAACAGAAAAATTCTCAGTGTAACTCTAACGAGAAAATTAGTTTCTGGTGTAGGTATGTATACTATCTATTATTTTCATTTGAACTTTTTGAACAAACCAATAAAATAAAGGTTAGAAGGACCCAGTGGATCATTAAGCGCAAACTATATTGTTATTGACAACACTAGAAATCCTCAAATTTCCTACTTGGCGAAACTAAATTCCAACTTTTATCATTGTGCTTTCTACAACTTGCAAAGCAGACAGATTAATAAATGAGTCTGAAAAAAGAATCAATAATTTGTATTCCACATGCCGTTTATTAAAAATTCTTAGTGAATTTAGTTTCTGGTACTTAAAACCGAGTAAAGAACTAAAATAGAAAGTATTTCAACCTTATTTGGTATTATCACAACGATATATGCAGTTGTTCCCTGTTCTTTTTTTTTCGACCTCCTTTTGTTCCATTCATCATCAAAGCTGCTTCCTCTATCCAAGCTGCTTGCGTCTTCGTCTTCCTGCCTTTCGTTTTCTTTCCTTAAAATCTTCTCCCTCATTTTATTTTCTCCGTCCTTCTGCCTCTTTTCTCCTTCTTCTTTCTCTTTTTCTCCTCCGTTTATTTTTTCCTCTCTCTTGGTTTGCTGTTTTTCTTCTTCCACTTCTTTTCTCCTGCTTTTTTCCCTTGAGTTTCATCCCTTTCTCTCATTCCTCCTCTTCTACTTCAACTTCATCTCCGCTGCTCCCCCTTTCGTCTTTTTTATTTTTCTTTTTGGTTCTCATATTTCTTCCCACGAGTTGGGTCGTACTAATCGGTCCAGTGGGGCAGTGCTCCCTTACCCCACTAAGGCTATTTTCCCCTCAGGTTGGCCACCTCCCTTGGGCATTGCTTGTAGCTCACTATGTTACCCCTAGGCCAAGCACCTAGTTTTGTATGTATCAGGATGTTAAGAATCTAAATTATCAAAAGTGTTAGTTACTTGAAATTTGGTGGATGGCCGGAGATGAGCCTGGGTGACCAGTCCAGGCTTATCTGCAGTCATCCTTCTGTAGGATTGATCTGATTATATGGGAAGCAATGAAGATTTTTATTAAGAAATGTGTTTGATTATATTAAAGGATATGAAGATTTTTATTAAAGAAATGTGTTTGATTATATTAAAGGATATGAAGATTTTTATTAAAGAAATGTGTTTGGATAATTTGTAAAAAGACGCAGCACTTCTGACCGGTTGCTGCGCCTTGTAGCGTCTAGCGGCGATGTCCAGCGCTTACCCGGTGCACCGACGAAGGGCGTTTTAGTTAGATTGTACTTAGCTTCATCGCTCGTGCTCCCTGGGACGTATCCCACAATATTGATTACTAGCCGCTTTCACTACGGCAAGGTAATTTCACAGCCCAAGAAGGTCATCTCATTTTGACCGAATTTCCTCGCTGCCATTGCTTCTTGGTTTTTAACACTTCAAAGTTCTATTTGAAAGTCCTCATTTAATTTTTCTAAGTACCTGTCAGTTCCTTCAGATATCGATACAACCACATAAGCTTCACTATGTTGCCAATAGACTCTTCAGGACTATCTACTTTGAGTAGTTTTTCTTTAGCATACGGACTAGGGAAATAATCATAACAAGGCTGGTTTGATGTTGGACTTCTTTCAGGATCTTGGCCAGTGTGACATATAATAGTTTGTTTGCAAATGGTCCATATAAGCCTGCATATAAGCATATTGGTTTGCATTACTATACCTGTAGGATAAACAGGCAAATCACTAAATTTAGTAAATCAGAACATCCTGATGTAGACATCTATTGGAAGATTTTATATAAATTTGCCTCTTAAGAATTGTGCCATGAGAACAGTTTTTTCATCCTCAGTTGAATCAGTTATGCTGGTAGAATCTTTGTGTAAATCTTTAAAATGAATGTGAAATTTCTTCAAAGCTTCTTCAGCTTACTCAGCATACAGAGAACATCGGCTTTCCAGATTTTCCATTTTTTATAACGGCAAGATTTAGGCAATTAGATTTATAATTTTATCTTCTTTGCTTCATGTGCCTTGTCCGTTCCGAACGTTGGCAATCTGAATAGTTCAGCAGATGACAATCCGAACCATTGCCGCAAGTTTTGGAGCCACGAGTGTCTTCTCTTCCCTGAACCCCTTCTGCTATCTATTTTCCCTTGAACGATCAGCTGTAGTACTATATATTTATTATGTCTCATAACGTGACCCAAGTATTCCAACTTTCTTTTCTTTATACTTATTCCTACATCTCTCTCTTTACCTATCCGGCGTAGTACCTCTTCGTTGGTCACGTGCTCAGTCCAGGATATACGTAATATACGTCGGTAAGCCCACATTTCGAAGGCCTCTCCTTTTTTTCATCAATGTTGCGGTCATTGTCTACGCCGTCATTCCATCATAGAACAAAACCAAGAATACATAACATTTCAGAAGTCGAATTTTGAGAGGTAGGGTGAGGCTTTTAGAGGTGAAAATTTGCTTTATGCTAGTAAACGATGCTCTTGCCTTTTCTACTTTTATACGTATTTCCTTCGCTTGATCCCAATTTGAGTTAACTGTTGTTCCCAAGTAGATGTACGAATCCACGTGTTCAATTCTTTCATTATATATAATTTTATCATGAATTAAAATCAATTTCATATGCATAGAGGAGAGTATATTCCAAAAACTGGAATGAATCTTTCAAAATTTTTAATTTATAATCCAAAAAGACTGGAATGCTGCACATTTTTCAAAATTTTCACAAATTTTGGGTAATTAGATTTATAGTTTCATCGTTGATTATAATCAGTTTCACAGACATCGAGGGGAGCATTATCTAAAAAATTTAATGTTACACATTTTTCATCAAAATTATCATCATTGTTGTCGTTTGGATCCAAAGTCCTATTATCCATAAAAACTGTGATAAAATGAGGTTTTCTGTTGCCATTTTGTCCATTTCCTTAACCAAACTTAAAGTTTTAATATATATGAGATCTTAACGGAAATTTTCATGTATTGTCATTTTGACAGCTTTGTTATTTGCAGTTGTTACCTACTGAGGTTAAAATACGTATCTAAAGTAGCTGGCAGATGCCCTGCATTAAATTAAATCTAATACCGTCTTTCTATATTGTTATTGGTACCCAACTAGAACATCAGTATTGGTAGTTATGATTGGGAGGGATAATCAAACCAATTAACTGAAGAGAAGAATCGGTCTTAGGTAGGCAACATTTTACTTTTTTTTGGAATGAGGTGAAAAGATTCGAAACCGAATAGGGAAGGTGTCGCTAGTACTGTTGGATTCAACCAGAAAGCAGAACCATACAAGAACGACACAGAGTTCACACGAAATCTGGGCCCCCATCGTATGCCTCAGTCAGGTCGCCTACTAACTAAAAACCACCCCTTCTTCAACGCTAAATATCCCCGGACGATTTCATTAGAGAATGAAACATGGGGATATCCTCCGCAGTCTGGAAGGGTGTTCTTGTAGAAGGTCTTGGCGCTTGTCCTACGATGCATACCTAATAACGGCATGCACCTAGGGGAAGCACTGGTTCCTTTTCGGAAGGAAAAGGAGAAATTTGTTCGGAAGACTGATGTTATTATAGAATGGAGAAGAATAGAAAGAGGAAAAAAAAACAAAGAGAAAAAATTACGCCCTTAGTGTCTCTGTTTGCCTGTCTATATGGAAGCAGGTTACTTACCGGAACAAGGTTAGAATAAATTCGTTTTTTGCTGTAGTTTCCTGAGAGCTGTCCATATGCATAAAGAGAACAGTATTGATCAATGAATCCTCCCAGTATTGACATACAGATCAAAAACATTTATTTTAACAAAAGCCTCGAATACCGAACTGAGAGTTACAGAGAGGAGATTGAAGTGATCCATGTTAGGAGTAATTCTGCGAGACAAAATAAAAAAACGATGAGGTCAGGAGAACAATCAAGATGTCTGACGTAATTAAAAGGATAGTAATACTAAAATGGAGATGGAGAGGACAGAATGGAGAAAAAAGAAAAAATAAAGGCAATAGAGGTGTAGGGAGAAAGGAGGTTTCTTGGAATAAAAACTGACATATGTTGTGGGATAAAGATCTTTGTGAAAGAAGATCAAGAAGCCTTCGCAATGCTTACCGCTATTGTCAGATAATTTTAATATGGCACGTGAAGAATAAGACAATAATTAACTATTTGTAGATTAAATACAATCAGACGATATTGGAGATATATTTTGCAGATCATGTATCCTTTGAAGCACGACTTAATACTACACTGTATACAGTGATGAGTGCCTTACCACCCGGCTTTTTAACGTAAGAGATAGAAACACAGTTACCTTGTGAAATAAAAAAAATAAAACTCGTAGAGGTGGGAAATAATCGAGAGAAACCTATAATTTACATTACATTACATTACCACTATCGATAGTCCACACCTTTAGACGTTAGCTTCGAGCTAAATCACCTCGGCCATAATTATTATGTTTGACGTCTTATGTGTGACGTATTTCCATTTCTTATTTTCGCATAAAGTAAAAACTGATTGACCACAATAAAGCAAAAATGTGAATAAAACAATTTAATTAATAGTGATTATTTAATCAAAGTTTTAAATTATTAACCAAGAATAATTTCTACTATGATTTTGAGGAGTTTCATACACTCTTGTCACGAAATAATTATCAATCCTTTAAGGATTAGTGGTAAGAAAACGACACTGCGATGCAGACGATTCGAGTTCAAAACCCACATGTGTTTTCTTTTTTTTTAATTTGAAATTATGCAGAGATCGTTTTGCTTTTGAACATTTATGGCAGTCGTCACTAGTATTAGATGTGTTCAAGGTAAACATAAATATCTTTTTAAACAAAGGGTCGTCGTACTTTCGAAAATAAAGTAAAAATTATTCAAAATTAAAAGAACGTTTAAAGAATGTTTAAATAAGTAAAAATTTTACAAAAATAAAAAAATATTGTAAATAAATGTATTTACAATTGTCAGTTGTTTTGAAAATCATTATCTGTATAGAGGAATTGATATTAACACTAAGAATTTAGTGATGGATT